TCAAACTGAACGAGTATACATATTAGGTTCTGGTGCGCAAATTGGTGCTCGTTCACATGTAATTTTAGGCTTGCTGTGGGGAGTCTCACCAGGCTTTTTGGACATTATATGCATATACATCTGCAGGGAATTTAATTGCGAACTCAATGATACCAAAACCAACGACGTAGCACGAGAATTAAGGTGAGAAAACTGAAACGAGTATACACATTTAGGCGTCGCTACACGTTCGCCCCACACCATTAGCCCCATGACGTCAAACTCTGCAGCGCTCGCGTGGCTTGCACGATAGTGTTAAGAGTGGTTTTACTAACTTTGTACGTGGTGCACACAACACTTCTAGGAATTCCAGTTTCAGCTTCCTTTATAAGCCGAACTTTTTGTTCAAAAGTCATCACAACATGTTTTCTCTTGGCTCTAACACTTCTTGAAGCCCTGTACAACAGATTTCCTGCATTTCCTGATGCCATAGTACCAGTATGCAAAAATATGTACAGATATAAAATCGTAAGAGGAGAAGTCTTTGTACACCATAGGCAGCCACATAAATAATACGGGGTCATCGAGCAGGTGCAGAGGTCGCGACGCAGTTGTTGGTTGTGAAACTACATAGGCCTCTAATGAGTGTAGGTTATCTTGAGATAACCTCCTTTTTGTTAAACATCCCCAGGAAGCAGCCCATAGCAGCTGTCTAACTCCCAGGTACCTACTTACTGCTAGGTGAACAGCAATAAATGGAAGGGTCGCTTTGGACCGGAGAGCAAACGAATAGATGGAATAAACTAAAGATTGAGGTTCGGCAGTTAGGTCGGGGAGTGCACACACTAAAATATAATATAATATAATATAATATAATATATAATATAATATAATATAATATAAAATATAAAATATATAATATATAATATAATATATAATATAATATATAATATAATATATAATATATAATATAATATATAATATAATATATAATATAATATATATATATATATATGCGCATGCAATTTCAAACTTTCTACAATTATATATTTCAAATAAACCAATATAGGCCGAGTGATTTTCTTTATTTTCAATAAATTGTTTCCAACTGGTTTATTTTAATTAATATTATTAAATTACATTAAAAACATAAATTATTGACGAAGATATGTTAGATTAAATTAGGTTAAGATAGGTTAGGTTAGGTAGGCTTGCTTAGGTTAGGACATATATCTACCTTAGTTTTAACTCAAATTAAAAAAAAATGAACTCATACATATTAAAATGGATAGCTTTATCGTTTCATGAGAAAAAATTTGAAAAACATATAATTTCAGGAAAACTTGGCTTATTAGGCAAATCGGCATAGTAGGCCATATTTGTCACAAGTCAAGCCTGGCCTCGGGCCGGGCTTGGGGAGTAGAAGAACTCCCAGAACCCCATCAACCAGGTCGAGTACTGCGTTTTGAGTAATATACATATATATATATATACACACATATACATAAACACACACAAAAGTTCTTAGTTTCTTGTACTAGTACGCATAGCGTTTGGGGCAAGTCCTTAATCCTATGTTCCCTGGAATACAATCCCACGAAGAATTGTTTAACAACCAAGTAACCATTTTACTGTTGAGTTAAACAGAGGCTACAGTTAAGGATTTGCGCTCGGTAAATCCTCTTTGGCCAGGATACGAACCCATGACAAAGCGCTCGCGAAACGCCAGGCGAGTGTCTTACCACTACACCACGGAGACTGCATCCTTAGCACTGCAACACTTTAGAATAATGTTTGGCTTTCTTTACTTTATCCATTCATTTATCCACTCTAGTATGAGGGTAAGTTAGGGTAGAATAGGTTAAGTTAGGTTAGGGAAAGAACAATCTAGGTTTAAACAGTAATGACAGTGCTACTATGCTTCCTGCCCTTTTGTAACCCTAACCAACTACTGACAACTAAATTGAAAACATTGCTCAGAGCATCATCCATGAGGTAGGTTAATTTTGACAAATTTGTCCAAATGTCAAAACTGTACATATCGTAGCTGAGTAGTGTTGGGTACGATATAATGACAAGTACAGTATTCCCATCACTGTATGATGACACTGGTAAAAATAATGCACGCAATGAAGAAAGTCACTCCATCTAACACTAAACATGTGACTTCTGGTGTAAATTACCTTCATTTCCAAATCTTTTATCCTTGTTGTACTTGATGAAGTGCGTGACAGTCTCCTCCTGGTACTGCTCCAGACACTCGTACACCTCCTTAACGGTGCGGAACTTTCTCACCAGGAATGGCTTAGCGGCCACTGCCTTGGGCTCCTGCTTCACCTCCTTGGCATACTCGTGCATCATGGTGTGGCGGCCGCCGGGGCGCCCACACACACTCTCGCCTCCAATACTCGACTCGTTTTTAACCTGCTTCATCCACAGCAGGAATGGCGGAGTCCTCACTACCGCTCGGGACCCTCAGCCCACATTCTACTACTCATTTATCTCTTTTTATCTACTCCGCTATTTATTTGCAAACAAATATATAAATAATTTACTATTAAACCTTCCTCAAAAACACTAAAATATATATATATAAAGATTTATTATTGACAATAATTTATCAATTTCATCTGGCTCCTGATTACTGTTTAGGAGTTTGAGCTGATGAGACTTGAGAATGTTTTCTTCCCAGTAGGAGTTAGTTTAGTTCATTTATTATGCACCCCATACCCATCTTGTGGGCGGTAGTAGAAAGGGTTACAGAGGCACATAATGGGCTCAGGGACTGAAATTGAAATTGAATTGAAATTGAAATAAGTTTATTGAGGTAAAATACACACAAAGGGATGAGGTAGCTCAAGCTATTCTCACCCCATTCAGTACAACGTGTTAATACATACATAGACACACATCACAAATAAACATATTACCAAACATTCTGAGATAAACATATACATTTCCTCCTTCACAAGTAGTATGTTATCAGACGTACACACAAATACTTTTATGCGGCTCAGGGACTGAACCTCACAGTTCATTTAGCTAACCAAGTTACAATCTTGATGACCTAGTTACAAAATTCAATATACGTCGTCACATCAACAATGGGTTCGAGATCGACCACAAACAGTTTCTAAACTCAAATTCAAATCCAATTTTTTATTCAGGTAAAAGTACATACATAGATGAAGAGTTACAAACATAATGTTAGATTTATAGATAGAGCTAGTACAATACCTAAAGGGTTTCCAAGGTTGAATTGAAATTGAAATTGAAATAAGTTTATTGAGGTAAAATACACACAAAGGGATGAGGTAGCTCAAGCTATTCTCACCCCGTTCAGTACAACGTGTTAGTACATACATAGACACACATCACAAACAATAAACCTGTTACCAAACATTCTGAGAGATAAACATGTACATTTCCTCCTTCACAAGTGGTATGGTATCGGACGTACACAAATACTTTTATGACCTAGTTATACGGATAATTCAACAAAATATTACAGTCTTGGTGCAAAATTTTTATATCTCTCAAGAATATCATCAACCTTTCCTTTGTGACACATCCAGGCTATTTGCTCAGGAACAGTCCTTATCTCAGTGTTTCTATATACATTAATCAACGGACAATCAAGAACATAATGGGCAAGGGTGTGAGACCTTAACATACCACATAGTTTACACTTCGTGTCATTATCATGAACGCCTATCCCATATTCCCAGTAATATTTGTACCCAAGCCTGAGCCGCATGTACACAGAGTCACTCCAAGCATTTCTCCTTTTACCATAAGTGAAAAGGGTGTTTTGACTCACATACATGTAGTGTTGCATGGTTAGACTTCTCTCATACATTATCCCTCTCCTCTCCACTCCTGCCTGTGCCTGAATATGTCTGATTTTGCTTCTTATTTGTCTCATTGTGAATTCACATTCAATGTCAATTTGTGGTTTTGATGTGGCACGTTTGGCCAAGTCATCCGCCACCTCGTTGAGCACTATTCCAACATGAGATGGAATCCACATGAATTTCACACTATGACCTTTCAGCTGTATCTCAGCTATTCTTCTCTTACAATCCTCAACTATAGACATGAAGACTGGGTTTCGACTGTTTAAGGACTCCAGTGCTCCTCGGCTATCGACAAATACAAAAACATTTTTGTCGTCATGACGTACTTCCTCCAAACACGCCAGAATGGCCTGCAGTTCAGCTTGTGTGGATGATATATAATTACTAAGCCGGAGTTCAATTTTCCTGTCCACAGTCCCAAACTCCGTATATTCCCTTATTAGGACACCACACCCTGCCCTGCCATCCTCCGCCACCGACCCGTCGCAATATACATGTAAACTGTTGCCTCTTGGTAACCGGGATATCATGCTTCCATACATACACCGTAATTGTCCCGGTTCATGATGAATCTTTTTCACATTGAGGGGTACAATTTCGACGTCTATTTTCTGTACTTTCCAGGGAGCAGACATATTACCCTGTCGAGAGGGTTTACAGCAGTCAAGTACATATCGTATTCCCTGAGGTCATGAGCTAATCCCCTCGTGTAGCGTGTCTCCCTCAGTTTCCTGGAAGTGTGTACGTCACTCAAGCAGGTCTGAACGCTCTCAAACAGCTTATCCCCTCCTTTTCTCCGCATGAAACGAATAGCTACTCTAGTGTTAATGTCACGGACTCTATCACACACACTCTGTAAATTTAATTCCATTCTCATTATTTCAATCATTGCATTTCTTTGACATCCAAGAATAATCCTCATAGCCTCGTTCTGTATCAGCTCTATTTTTTTAATTCTGCCTTGGCCTGTGTAAGACAAAACGGGTGCTGTGTAGTCTATCAGGGACCGAACAGTGCTTATGTATAACATCCGTAAGAAAGGTACCCCAACACCTTTACCAGAAAAAGCCAGTGCTTTTAGAGGATGCAGACGGGCTTTACATAAGGTGCTGATAGAAAGTCACTCCATCTAACACTAAACATGTGACTTCTGGTGTAAATTACCTTCATTTCCAAATCTTTTATCCTTGTTGTACTTGATGAAGTGCGTGACAGTCTCCTCCTGGTACTGCTCCAGACACTCGTACACCTCCTTAACGGTGCGGAACTTTCTCACCAGGAATGGCTTAGCGGCCACTGCCTTGGGCTCCTGCTTCACCTCCTTGGCATACTCGTGCATCATGGTGTGGCGGCCGCCGGGGCGCCCACACACACTCTCGCCTCCAATACTCGACTCGTTTTTAACCTGCTTCATCCACAGCAGGAATGGCGGAGTCCTCACTACCGCTCGGGACCCTCAGCCCACATTCTACTACTCATTTATCTCTTTTTATCTACTCCGCTATTTATTTGCAAACAAATATATAAATAATTTACTATTAAACCTTCCTCAAAAACACTAAAATATATATATATAAAGATTTATTATTGACAATAATTTATCAATTTCATCTGGCTCCTGATTACTGTTTAGGAGTTTGAGCTGATGAGACTTGAGAATGTTTTCTTCCCAGTAGGAGTTAGTTTAGTTCATTTATTATGCACCCCATACCCATCTTGTGGGCGGTAGTAGAAAGGGTTACAGAGGCACATAATGGGCTCAGGGACTGAAATTGAAATTGAATTGAAATTGAAATAAGTTTATTGAGGTAAAATACACACAAAGGGATGAGGTAGCTCAAGCTATTCTCACCCCATTCAGTACAACGTGTTAATACATACATAGACACACATCACAAATAAACATATTACCAAACATTCTGAGATAAACATATACATTTCCTCCTTCACAAGTAGTATGTTATCAGACGTACACACAAATACTTTTATGCGGCTCAGGGACTGAACCTCACAGTTCATTTAGCTAACCAAGTTACAATCTTGATGACCTAGTTACAAAATTCAATATACGTCGTCACATCAACAATGGGTTCGAGATCGACCACAAACAGTTTCTAAACTCAAATTCAAATCCAATTTTTTATTCAGGTAAAAGTACATACATAGATGAAGAGTTACAAACATAATGTTAGATTTATAGATAGAGCTAGTACAATACCTAAAGGGTTTCCAAGGTTGAATTGAAATTGAAATTGAAATAAGTTTATTGAGGTAAAATACACACAAAGGGATGAGGTAGCTCAAGCTATTCTCACCCCGTTCAGTACAACGTGTTAGTACATACATAGACACACATCACAAACAATAAACCTGTTACCAAACATTCTGAGAGATAAACATGTACATTTCCTCCTTCACAAGTGGTATGGTATCGGACGTACACAAATACTTTTATGACCTAGTTATACGGATAATTCAACAAAATATTACAGTCTTGGTGCAAAATTTTTATATCTCTCAAGAATATCATCAACCTTTCCTTTGTGACACATCCAGGCTATTTGCTCAGGAACAGTCCTTATCTCAGTGTTTCTATATACATTAATCAACGGACAATCAAGAACATAATGGGCAAGGGTGTGAGACCTTAACATACCACATAGTTTACACTTCGTGTCATTATCATGAACGCCTATCCCATATTCCCAGTAATATTTGTACCCAAGCCTGAGCCGCATGTACACAGAGTCACTCCAAGCATTTCTCCTTTTACCATAAGTGAAAAGGGTGTTTTGACTCACATACATGTAGTGTTGCATGGTTAGACTTCTCTCATACATTATCCCTCTCCTCTCCACTCCTGCCTGTGCCTGAATATGTCTGATTTTGCTTCTTATTTGTCTCATTGTGAATTCACATTCAATGTCAATTTGTGGTTTTGATGTGGCACGTTTGGCCAAGTCATCCGCCACCTCGTTGAGCACTATTCCAACATGAGATGGAATCCACATGAATTTCACACTATGACCTTTCAGCTGTATCTCAGCTATTCTTCTCTTACAATCCTCAACTATAGACATGAAGACTGGGTTTCGACTGTTTAAGGACTCCAGTGCTCCTCGGCTATCGACAAATACAAAAACATTTTTGTCGTCATGACGTACTTCCTCCAAACACGCCAGAATGGCCTGCAGTTCAGCTTGTGTGGATGATATATAATTACTAAGCCGGAGTTCAATTTTCCTGTCCACAGTCCCAAACTCCGTATATTCCCTTATTAGGACACCACACCCTGCCCTGCCATCCTCCGCCACCGACCCGTCGCAATATACATGTAAACTGTTGCCTCTTGGTAACCGGGATATCATGCTTCCATACATACACCGTAATTGTCCCGGTTCATGATGAATCTTTTTCACATTGAGGGGTACAATTTCGACGTCTATTTTCTGTACTTTCCAGGGAGCAGACATATTACCCTGTCGAGAGGGTTTACAGCAGTCAAGTACATATCGTATTCCCTGAGGTCATGAGCTAATCCCCTCGTGTAGCGTGTCTCCCTCAGTTTCCTGGAAGTGTGTACGTCACTCAAGCAGGTCTGAACGCTCTCAAACAGCTTATCCCCTCCTTTTCTCCGCATGAAACGAATAGCTACTCTAGTGTTAATGTCACGGACTCTATCACACACACTCTGTAAATTTAATTCCATTCTCATTATTTCAATCATTGCATTTCTTTGACATCCAAGAATAATCCTCATAGCCTCGTTCTGTATCAGCTCTATTTTTTTAATTCTGCCTTGGCCTGTGTAAGACAAAACGGGTGCTGTGTAGTCTATCAGGGACCGAACAGTGCTTATGTATAACATCCGTAAGAAAGGTACCCCAACACCTTTACCAGAAAAAGCCAGTGCTTTTAGAGGATGCAGACGGGCTTTACATAAGGTGCTGATATGATTTATTTCAGCATTTTTACTCTCACATGTGTATCCAACATACATGCCCAGATACTTGTACTTCTGAACACGGCTCAGTTCCACACCATTTAGAGTAAGTGTTATATTTCTTCGTTTCCTATACTCATATTTGGTTTTATCTGCATTTATAACTAAGCCTAACTTGTGACAGGTTGTACCAAGTATGTTAAGAGCAGTTTGAATTTTGTTCCCGGAAGTGCCTTGTATAAGAATGTCATCAGCATATATGATCGTCGTGACCCCTGGAGGATACATTTCTGATGCTAATCTGTTCATTAATACATTGAATAAGGTGGGACTTAATACTCCCCCTTGTGGAGTACCTAACTGAAACCTCCGTTCCTCAGACATGCATCCCTGATAATACACCTGACCTTTTCTGCCTTGTAGATAATCCCTTATCCAGTGTAACAATCTCCCTGTTATTCCCAGATTGGCTAATTCGTATAAGATTACTTCCCCATTGGCTTTATCAAATGCTCCTTGTAGATCAACAAAAACTCTACAATTGTCATCCATATTAGACAAACACTTTAAGAGACAATCCGCAGTACTTTTGCCTTTGACAAAACCAAAGAGATTACTGGACATGTTATCACCTACAAGGTAGAGTAGCCTATTTAACAAAATCCTTTCCATCATTTTACAAAAGCAGGATATTAAGGAGACAGGTCTGTAGCCACCGTTTGACTTAGGGATAGGAATGATGACAACCTCTTTCCATTTTCTTGGTAACTTTCCCTCTCTATAACTCATATGAAACAAATCAAGGGACTAGGTTTCATACCGGCTAAATAATTAAGGATGTCATACGTTACTCCATCTTTCCCAGGAGCAGTAGAGCTGCCACTTTTTATAGCATCCAGTAGCTCATCGTGAGTTATCTCAGTGCACGCTATAAATCTTGTATTTAAGGCACATAAAGTTACTCCATTTCTAATATTTTCCCATGACTCAATGGTGATTCTCGTGTCTGCAGGTAAGGACTCCATACCAGCAGCACTAGCCCATTTATCTACTAACTCATTAGCAACCTTCCCTGGATCTGAGTGAGCAATGAATTTGGTCTTACAACCCCTGACTTTATTTACTGCTCTCCATATGTCTTTAAGGTTCTTAGTATTACCAATGGACTGAGCAAAGTCTTGCCAGTATCTGTCCCGCGCCTCCTTCCTCACCTGACTGCATTCCCTAGCCACTTCCAACATTGTATTTTTCTCTTCATCCCTCATTCCATTTTTTATCCATTCTTTATGTGCACTCCGTAGCATTCTCTCCCACCCCTTGACTTGCTGATCATTGGAATATTTAAATTTCTTAGGTCCATGCGTCTTGCTTCCCCTGCCTCCGTTATTTTCCCTCTGTACTAATTTCTCTATGTTCTCGACCATATCCTCGTAAAAACTATCAACGCAGAGCGGCGTGTATTGTTGATACCAATCTCCCATATTTTGAATAAAATAATTTTTCATATCTTTATTAATATTTAGCCTTTTCCTTTGAAAGTGGACTTGTTTTTTCCCCAGTGGTAATTCAACGTTCAAGGCAAAGTGGTCACTAAGTAGTTCCCGAACAACCCGAGCTTCCCCCATAATCCCCTGAGAGTTTAAAATGCAGGCATAGTCAAGCCGTCCTCCCCTGATGTGAGTTGGTTCATTGTTTCCCAATAGACAGGTATCTGGATGATCTTGTAGAAACTGTAACCACTTGACCCCATTAGTACTAATGCTACCCACTGTCCCAAGGCTTGTGTGCCGAGCATTAAGGTCCCCAATGACCAGTGAAGGATCAGTATAAATGCAGTCAGGTAGATAGTTGGCGTCGAAGCAGTTCCTGGATACATACAAATTAACTACAATAAATTCCCCTTCCCTTAATGGTAATTTAACACAGACACTCTCTATACCTTGCGTTTTTGATGGCGGTTCTACTAACTCTACTGGTATGGAGTTCTTAACATAAATCGACGTGCCTCTGATGTTATTTGCAGCGAAGAGGTGAAACCCTTTATAGCCATTTAATTTCAATAATCCTTCATTCCTATCCCCTGTCTCCTGGAGAGCTACAACATCAATATCATTTCCCATCACATAACAATGAACATCTGTAACCCTGTTTCTTAAACCATTAACATTCCATGACAAAACTTTCAGTCTAGGGTGATCCATTATTAATCAATTCACTGCCTAAGTCATCCCCTATAAATTCACTAAATGATAGCCATACCTGGCATAACATCTCCCACCTCCTCCCAAGTTCACCAGTAAAAGCGACATTGCGATTCTCAAGAGATTTTTTCAGCCCTGAGACGTCCATTATTGGCCCAAATGATTCCTTCATTTTATGTGTAATTATAGGGTTCTTCCTTTCACTACGACTACCATCATTCACACACACTTCACTTTCTTTCATTTCAGCACTCAATATTTCATTATTGCCCTCAACCACTATATCCTGATTTTCTTTCACAGTTTTGTGAATTTCC